ATTCTAGGTTTCCTGCTCCACTTGCTGGCACCTCAAATACCAGTTCTTGCATCACTTCTGGTGCCAAGGCATTGATTATTTCCTGCAAAGAAACTACAGTATAGCTTAAAGACTTTTTTTCATTGAACTTGTCAGAGCTATGTTGTTAAACTCCTGCTAATCATGGCATTCATTTATTTTGACATTTTATGCCTCCCTTTCCAAGACTTTAGTCCAAACAAAGGATAAAAAGTATGTTTACAAATTTAAGAAATTTGTGTCCATTTCTGCAGAAAGGTACTGATACTAATTGATATACGAGAATTGCTTCCTGAAGATAGAATTATGAGTGCAACTGCTTTGCATGTTGGACTTGAGCCTTAGATGTATGTATATAAAGTTATATTTTATATGTGAGAAGGGTCTACTGATTTTGTTCATATGATAACCTTGCTCCTTGGGCTGTGATATTTCTTGTTCCATCCTGTCATGCCCACTGTCCTGATGAGGTTGTGGCTGTTGGTCAAGTACATCTTGTTCTGTTCTTGGCTATGAATTAATGATGAAGTTTTCTCTTAAAAAGATCATATGCAATTGTACAAGTGCACGGAAAACCAAACATAGTTAATTTGAAATGCATTGTTTATACAGATACGCTGGGTAAATTCCAAGACTCAATATTTTCTATGAAGCTTTTTGATCCAAAAACTTACTACTGTAGCAATTACTGTGGCAGGTTGATTTATAACTTTCAAATAATTACGCTACTTGCAAATCTGTTGATGACAATGTACCTCCAAAATCGATTTGGGGATAACCAATTACGTCTGAAAGTTTTTCAAACAATTTGCTACAATTGCCGCACCGCTTCAAAAATTAAGACTCAATATTTTCTATGAAGCTTTTTGATCCAAAAACTTACTACTGTAGCAATTACTGTGGCAGGTTGATTTATAACTTTCAAATAATTACGCTACTTGCAAATCTGTTGATGACAATGTACCTCCAAAATCGATTTGGGGATAACCAATTACGTCTGAAAGTTTTTCAAACAATTTGCTACAATTGCCGCACCGCTTCAAAAATTAACAAGTTGGATATTGAATTATGAACATCAAAAAGCACTTGTCTCGTTAAAAAGTCAGAAAGGGAGATTTGTAGAGCACCAGAAAAAGTGTAGGGAATGCATCTTTCATTTGTTGCAGAGGGTCCTTGTAGGGACTTTGTGAAATATCCTTTGGATCTCGAGGCTCCTTCCTTGTATCAGGTACTGTTTCTGTCTCAGTTGGCGTCATCTTGTCTTATATTTCAGGTGCATCTGTGGCTATGTTCATGCTTTTGTGAAATCTACAATCATCTGAATCACTTTCACATTCCAGAAGAGAATCATCCAAAGCATACTAAGATCTCCTTCCAAATCACTCATTCTGTCATCATCATAGTTGTTATCATAAATAATAGCATCATTTAAACCTTCTTTAGCTGAGGACTAAGAGGAAGATGTTCAATCCTTATTCTTGTAGAATTATCATATTATATTGTGTAATGGCTAAATGATATTCTTACATTCTGGTTACCCTGCACACAAGGAGGGGGGGGGCAAGGTAGCAAATTCAGAAACTCACAGCTTGTTGTTAAGGCTGCCATATGCACACTTGGTTGGTAAGCTGCACATAAGCCTATGTCTGACATTGGTGGGAATGAGAATCAGGTCTCAAGCAAGACAATCTTTACAATAAAATATATGCTTTTGTATGCTATTTCAAAAAGTAAACTTTTTCAAAGTCAAAACATGAACATTCTATGAGAAGTCAAGGCCAAAAGATGAACTTTCTAATGAATATTCTATCAAACGTAAAATAGCAGGAGAAATTATGTATTGCAACTGATTAAGCAGCTTGATTTAGCATTGATAACCTTTACGGACTTAAACAGATGTATTCCACTTATCATTACTTCCCTGTGTTGAGAGTCTTCTGTGAATGGTTTCTGCAAAACTGTGAGTCTTTAAAGCTTAGGGAATTGCAGCAATCAAAAAATTGGTCAGCCTTTGCAATAAACTGTGCTGTGTCTAAAACATCACCAGATAGCCCATTTTACGCAACATAGGTGTTAAGAGCAGCAGCAACTGAGTGACTGAATACCTGGGATGCAAGTTTTACTTCCATCTTAGCAAAGCCATTTGGGTTAAGATGTTTTGCAGTCAATTTAGGAGCAATTCTAATCGCTTGTTGTTGATCTTCGGCAAAAAAGTCACGAACATCCTTCCATTTTGAAACTTTCTTGTTAAACTTAAATTTATATTTCATTAAATTATTTCTCAATGATTTCAAAAGATGTGGGGGGTCAAACATTGCAAAATTTTTCTTTCTATAAAGGTTTCTCTGCAGCAACACCCATATCATTAAAAAAATTAAGGAAATTTGATCCTTGATCAGAAACCAGTGCAAGTACCTCTAAGCCCATAGATTTCAGATGCCCAAGAGCTTCATTTATTATATCTTTCAACTTTAGAGAATCACAAGATTCATTAACAAGATAATATGCTAGAGGTTGCTTCCAATTGTGCACTATAACTCTCACCATCAATAGCAATGCAGAAGTAGCCAACTTTCCAGGGGAGATTCCTGTACCCAAATCTTCTAAGCCATCAAGTGTATCTTTTGATACATCATAAAATATATGTTTCTTCAAAGATATTCATCCATCAATAACTTGATATTCATTCAAACATCATACAAAACTCTCCAGCAGCAAGGAGAGACTTTACCCATTCTTCAATTACGAACAGTGACTTACTAGAAAACCCAATGTCTGAAGCAAATTTAGAAACCATTCTAGTTAAGGTCCTTTTCGAAGGGGAGATTGAATGTTTTTGCTAAAAATCTATATGCACTTCCACTGATATGATATAAAGTTAAGCAACATGCCTTAAAACTTTGATGCTGACATTTTTGATGCTGAAAAATTGATTAATTTTTTAATGAAAGTCAACATTGAAACAACACCCTCGAGTAGCTTCAAAAACACCCTCGAGTAGCTTCAAAGCCTGTTTGGCATTTTCAATTCTTTTCTTTTTCAAATTTGGGCATTTTCAAATTTTTTCATTTTTACTATGGATAGTTTTCCATAATTTCTTTTTGCGTGGTGTGTTTGAAGTAATGGAAGCAGATGTTTGGCAAGCCTCTGACACATCATATCCAATCGTTTCTGTGTTTTTGCAACCCACCATATTTACACTAGGGTATCAAAAGTATTGCACCACCCTGCTCAAAATGGCGGCACATTTTGTCGACTTTTTGACAATGCAAAACATTTGAATGTATTAATTGGGTAAAATAAGCGCATTTTAGAGCAAACTTTGGCTGGAAATGTTTGCAAATCTTGCTGACGCCATAGAAAACTTAGTTAAAAATGTATAAATTACGCAAAAACATTTTTATCTGTAAAAATGTAGCCCATGCCTGAGGAAACAAAATTGTCAAACGAGAGGCGAGTCGCTATAAAACATTTACGGGGAAGTGGTCTTTAATTTTAAAAAAAATGTTGACCAAGTTAAATGCAGCTCCACAACAGCTGCGGTAAATCAGAAAAGATTTCTCGAGAATGTTACAGTAGTAAAGAAACCGAAAAGTTGTCGACCAAAATAAATTTGATGTTAAAGGGGAAAGAATTTGTCGGTTTTATTTCACTGCGTACAGCACCAAGGGGCAGTAAATGGCATGAAACTCAACACTGCGCAAGGTTTTGCAGCTCAAAATCCGTCCACAGAAAATATAATGAGTGTTTTGCACAAATACAAAAGAAAAAGTTACCTGAGTAAACGGAAACCATTTTTACAAATATTTATTTCCATGCAAAAGAAATTAAAGTTTTGGCATAGCCAGAATCAAGTCCAATCTTTAACATCGCTAAAAAAATTTGACTTCAAATGAAAAATGTTACAAACTGTGATCCCAATGGTCGTCCAAAAGCCAGAGAATCATTAATTGTAAGAATTTTCCAGGCCTATTGCGAAATTCCACAAGAATACGTTGACCAAAAATGTGGATCCATTTCAAGGAGGCTTTTTGCGGTTTCAAAAGTTTGCGGCTACCCGTCAAATTATTGAAATTTGAAACTGTTAAAAGACGTTTTCTACTGTTATTTTTAAAACAAATGCTCTAAATAGATTGAAATTTTGATTGGTGGTTGTTTTGGTTTCGACCAATTGCCATTGGCCCTCTAAAAACGGAATTAATTTGCATAACAATAGCTTTCGATCATTCATGCGCCATTTCTCCTCCTTCGAGGTGGTGCAATACTTTTGATACCCTAGTGTATTGATGAATCTGCAATACCTATATGTTTGTGATGAACAGAAAATAAATGTTCAGTTATTGTATTCTAAGTATGAATATGTCTTCATTTAATTTTGGTGCATAAAGGGCTAGCAAAAATGGAAATTTAAAAGACTTTGCTGCTCTAAAATTCCCTTAATAGGAGCAATCAATGATATTCATCATTATCACTTGGTAGAATTAAGTGCCCTACATGTAGTCAAAGTATAATGTAATAATTTAAGCAGGTTGTTTATTATACAATTGAGTTTGATAATTTTTTCACATACATGGCTCAGTTGTTTTTATTGTTATCTCTTGTGGTTCCTTATCAACAAGAATTTCTGCAAGAACAAGGATCAATGAAAAAA